AATTACTTACCCGGTCATTGTCATAAAACATCTCCAAACACGTGCAATGATTGTGTTTATTTTTGCGTTAACAAAGAAAGCGGTCATATGATCAATTCCGAAGCCTCGACGGAAGATCATGTACTAACAACAAAATTATTAATGAATTCAGGTTAGAGATATATAACCGATTTAATTCTATTCGTCTTATTGAAACTAATCATTGTCGCACACAAATTTACTATAGATACTTTGGGACGTTAGAATTAATATATATCCTCTCCTGTTCTTATTATCATCTAATTAATTATAATAACACAACAGTTGTAATAAACAGTCCTAAGAGGCAACAAGTAGTCACCAGCTTCCTAATTAAGTTGTCATATAATATAATGTTTAGTTATCAAACAATTATTACAATCTTTTCTATTATTAAAAAAGTTTATTAAAATGACATACATAGTTTTATTTTTTACTTAAGTTTTTACAAGTTCAACTGAAAAATATGCTACCTAATTATATAAACATAATATATATGTTTAGTCATCAAATAGTGGTGAAATTAATACCTTATCAGCAAAGTGAGGAAGGTTGTCTCGAGAATGCTTTTCAAAATACCTTTCAAAAAGCCTTTTGTCGACCTACGTCCAACAAATAAACACACTCATATATAAGATAAGCAATGTGAAGACCACATTACACATGAATATACACATTCAATTTTTTCTAGTGTTAGCACAAAAATCACCTAGCTAATTAATTAAACATCCACGAACCTTAGATTCATCAACTACAATTGGAAGACTTAGACGATATTGTGCGGAGAGTGCAATATCAATCTCATCATCGGTTGTTATCTTGAAATTGCTCTTATCCATCACCTTTACAAGGATTGAAAGGGGAAAGTATTACAAAGTTTAGCTATAACTATTTACAGTAGCTAGCAGTCCAATGAACAAGCAGAAGGATCGAGAACGTGAAAGCTAGCACTTGTCAAAGGACCATGAAAAGGGAACAAGAGATAAGAAAACGGAAAGAGAGATGGTTATTATAAAGCATATCTAAGATTTGGGATAATCAATAAAATAATTAAACATTAATATTTTTTTATCGATATGAAATTTGAGATCTATAATTTAAATGAATATACAAAATAGTCAATTTAATTGTTGATTTTTCCAAAATATATATTAACTTTACTAAAAAAATTAGTGTAAGAATACCTTATTCTTACACTAGTTAATTTAAATTAAATACCTGAAATAAGTATGTGAGAAAATTATGTTCAAGAGTATCTATCTCTTCGGGAGATAGGTTCTGCTGCTCCAATTTCTGAGCTCCATGGATGGGGTCAAAGAGGGAATACAATTGCTGCAAATTAAAACATATATAACACAGATATATACGTTGCGTTGATGGCATGGCTGATTATATATTTTACCGGCAAGTCCGCATGACGGAAATGGAAAACACGTACGTACGTACGTACGATTAGATCTTCAAATTGCAAAACATACCAAGCCCGAATTGTGTATTCAATTCTTTGGCAGAGCTTTAAAAACTCAGAACGGTCAGATTTATGTTCTGCAGGCCAGCCACACAACAAATTAATATTGAAGTCTCTCCATATCAGAAGTTGTGATCCAAATTAAATCAAATGTCTAAATCAAAAAAATTTTAACTTACCAAGAAGCTCAGCTAAGGTGGTGATGATTTTTTGCTTAACGATAGGAATCACTGATTCCCGCTCCAACCTTATTATATCCTTCTTCTTGACCATTGTTTTCTTGCTTCTTAATTGTTTTCACCGTCAGATATCCCTTTCCGCGACGCAGGACTCAGAGGAGATCCAACAAAACAACAAATGGACAAGAAAGAAGTGGAGGAAAACAACATACATAGTTTAATTTCCACCTCTTCGATCGGCGGCAAATGCGAACACCATTTTTAGTATAGACTATTAAAATCCAAAATCAAAAGAAAAGCCTAATTTGGACCACTGCTTTTTCTTTTTCTTTTTCTTTTTTTCTGACAAACAGGTAACTTGCCGCATCTCATGACTTGTGGATAGTTAGGCAACCCAAAATACTTCATATATCCATATTTTTATACTAATTTCTTAAAAAGACTGTTTGGTTTAAGAGAAGAGAAGAATGGGAAGGAATGGTACTTTCATTTTAGCAATTAAATTATAACTTTTAGAAATAATGCAACTTGATTTGTCAAAAAATTCTCCTTTCCCACAACCCAAATATACCCTACCCTAAAAGTGCATCCTATTAATATGGAACCAAGAATCCATTAAGGGTAGAACCTTTTTCTTTTTGCAAATTTAAGTCTCAATCTTTTTTTGTTCCTACCAACAGATTTAGGGTAAGCACTGCAAAAGGAAAATGAAGAGCTTCAACTACAACTGCAACGATCACAGTCTAATTATATGATGTCGGGCAATGTGAATTTATTCAGCATTTGCTTGACTTGACAGGAGCTGCAGCTGCAAACACTCTCCGAGAAAAGAGTTCCCCCATGAAACGGCCCAAGAAAGAAAACAGAGCATAAGTATTCAGATGCCAACAGAAAAAAGAATCTTTCTTAATTTTGATGATAGCTCTCCTGATAAATTTGGTAGTCAGACTACTTCCAGGTTAGTTTTCCTTTGATCGTCTCTTTTTTAAACATATATTGTTACTATCTAGATTCAAGGTTTATATTTTACCCTCCCTTGCTTTGCCATATGGCATTGGGCTATGAGACAGACCAACAAATTGACATAGTTGCTAAAATTCGGAAGAGAAAACCTCCAATCAATTTTAGGCCAGTTACCATATAATTATGTGTAACAAGTGGTCCTCACCCCACGTAGGGTTTAATTAGGCATTTTATTTTAAGTATGAATCAGAATGTTTACACATATTTTATTTCTTAGGCAAACTTTGAAAAGTTAAGGTTAATTACCTTAATAAATTAAGACCATATCAACTACCCATAAACAGCCTCTTAGCAAGGAGAGCAAAGAAAGAAGACAAGTTAAGAACATGAACTAATCCTAAATCAGCAGAGCCCAGAAAACCTAAGAACAAAGCTTGAGTCACTCTTTTACATAATGTACCGGCAGTCGTGACGACCATTTGACAATGCTATTACCAGAACCACAGGGGTAAGATATATTCTTGAAGTTTAGAAACCTCATTAAAATCATAACTTGAGCAAGAAAAAAGCCTCCAAGATCTCCTTCCCAGGTTTAGGGGAGTCTCTCAGCTGCTTTTGAGATTTACTCTGTCCCCTCTTCACTGGTTTCTCTCGTTATCTCAGTCGAATCATTTCTGGCTTGAACTTTTTAGCTGTTCCAAATTTTCTTTCAAAATGATAATCATTCTCTAACAAATACTTCAATATATAGGAGAAATTAAGATAACCTAATAATAGCAAAGAGGAAAGGAAATTAAGATAATCTACTAAGATAATCCATTCCTGCATGCATTCACTTCTGGATTAGTCCAGTCCTATAATGATGAAGAATTAGAAACTAACATGCATTCAGCCCAGTATAATTTTTTGTTGTCCTATTCTTTCTTTTGTTTCATATTTGGTAAAATCTGACCATGAAAACAAAAATAAAAGCAAAGGAATTTGACTTAAACCCTACTAAACCAAATCACTGGAACACAACAAAAATATTCACCCATCAAAATTTATTTAAATTGATTTGGACTTCCGAGCCTTGCTACCTCACATTATTGTATCAAAAAATTGGTCTTATTAATTATATT